ATATAAACAGTGATATTAACCTATATACATATATATATGTATATATATAAACAGTGATATTAATCATTGGCGAGTCTTACTTGTGGTATGACTAACAGTGACGCAAGTAATACATGCACTCTTGAGAGAAACGACCTTATTGGTTTCTATATAATAGTTGGCTCTCTAAAGCCTTCCCCATTGAAATCTCAAGCAATGACTATTTGAATAGTTTTAAAAGGTATATCAATTTTGCTGACATCTATGCTAAATTGACTGAGTATGTTATCACTTAGATAGATGTTAAAGGCTCCTTTTATATTTTTTTTAACTCGTGTGTAATTAATTGCAATACTATTCTATTTTATTCTGTGGTTAAATAAGTAACTAATTAATAATTAGCCTTGGATGATCGTATAGGCTACTAACCATGGCAATAATTGATGTCCAATCGCCGTAATCATTTATGGAGCCCCCCCCCCCAGTGGCACACCGGTATGTCTGCGGACTTACAGCGCTAGAATTCGGGTTTCGATACCCGTGGTGGGCAGAGCACAGATAGCCCATTGTGCAGCGTTGTGCTTAATGAGAAACAAACAAACTTTTTATGGATACTTAAAATTATAGTACATTCGACACCAATTATTTCTAGCTGAAGGCAGCATAATTATACTAACCCAAAAGTCGCAGATTGAGGAAGAGATTGGGTGCATTTTTGCCATGGTGAACAGATTTGTTTGATGCCTAAGAAAAACGTCAATCTAGAATGAAAATTCAACTTTATATTTATAGCTAGCTTTTATTCACAATTTAATTACTAAGTGCAAGCAAGTAAATTTAAGCACTAAACTGGTTTCATCAACTTCTAATAAAGAGGGTATTCTGGGCCACAAATAAGACATTTCGGGCCAGTTATGCCCTGCAGTCTACCTACTATAAACCAGAGCTATAGGTCATTCAGATTTTACCAACACCTCTTGTGTAAAAATGATTGTTTACTGTTACTTTACACCTTGTGAAACTAAGAAATTCTTGTTGTTTTCACTTGTTGAAATCCCCGTTACTCCGAATATGCTTGTCCTTTCAGCCGTGGTGGCGTTATAATGTGCGGTCAATCCCACAATTCGTTGGTTAAAGAGTAGCCCAAGAGTTGGCGTTGTGTGGTGATGACTAGCTGCCTTCCTTCTAGTCTATCACTGCTATATTAGGAACGGCTAGTGCAGACATCTCTCGTGTAACTTTGCAAGAAATTATGCATGTAAGTGCATCAAACACATTGGCAAGCTAAAGTTTTACATCACCAATGAAGTTCTCGAGAAAATTACTCCAGGAATCAACGAGGAAGAGCAGATTGCCAATAAAAGCACTGTGTCATATAGACTTTGCTCAGGTGATGAAAAGGAAGAGGCTAGTAATACATCTATGACAGGTCATGAGGAAATGCCAGTGGAAGAGGGGTTTTTCTGTACTTATAATCGGCTAAGGTACAAACATTGGCTTCCTAATCGTTATGACTGGGATTAACTGTTGACCAACATTCAGGATGGTTAGCTGACTGAAAAATTAATGACTGATAGAAAGTGATATTCTTTACTTTCCAAGCTACCAAGATGACTAAAAACCTTATGTACTAACCACGCAATTACCATAAAATTACAACAGTGGGTTTGGTGATAGATTTTAACAGTTTAAAAGGCATTGTGATCTCTGCTTTCTCAGCTATGAAGCACTATTTGGTAATTAGAGGTTAACTTTATGTGTTGAAGTAATACCTTGATCTATCTAGCGAATTGTAGTAGCATTTCTGTGCGGTTGGAAATGTTATATTTGATACATATATAGCTAGAACAGCTATGGTTCTTAGATAAAATCCTAAAAATTCATGTTTGGTCTTTACTGTTAAAGATAGCTAGGAACTCTGCTGAAAGTGCTTTGCAATCCTTGCTTTATGAGCACTTGGGTTTAATTTTATTGCAAAATCGAGCTTGTGATGTTGCACTTAAGCTAACATTGCCTTCTGTTGTCTAACCATACGAGTTTAAACTTGCTGATTTAGTAGATGCATACTGGGCCTTCTGAAATACATTAAGGGATATGTGCTTTAACACAGCATAAGATATTGACATAACAACATAAGTAAAGGTACAGTTTATATCATCTTGTTAGATTTTTGTCTGAGTTGTATTTTGCGCTTATTGGATATACTGTGTTGCTTAGCAGAACTATATGGCAGCTCGAATAAAAAGCATAGTGATTTCAGTTGATTTCTGTGTTCAAATGGCAAAAGTAATTTTTCTGTTGTCCCTAGTGTTTTCAGTACATTAAGCTGGGTATCTATATGTGTGTGTGTGTATTTTATAATTAGCCATGCAAAACTTTGCCAACTTTGAGTCAA